CAACAATGTAGCCTATATGACAACTACGATGCAAGTGCTAAACTGTCAGATCAACAATGTAGCCTATATGACAACTACGATGCAAGTGCTAAACTGTCAGATCAACAATGTAGCCTATATGGCAACTACGATGCAAGTGCTAAATTGTCAGATCAACAATGTAGCCTATATGGCAACAGCGATGCAAGTGCTAAACTGTCAGATCAACAATGCAGCCTATATGGTAACTACCATGCAAGTGCTAAACTGTCAGATCAACAATGTAGCCTATATGGTAACTACCATGCAAGTGCTAAACTGTCAGATCAACAATGTAGTCTATATGACAACTACGATGCAAGTGCTAAACTGTCAGATCAACAATGTAGCCTATATGACAACTACGATGCAAGTGCTAAACTGTCAGATCAACAATGTAGCCTATATGACAACTACAATGCTAGTGCTAAACTGTCAGATCAACAATGTAGCCTATATGGCAACTACGATGCAAGTGCTAAACTGTCAGATCAACAATGTAGTCTATATGACAACTACGATGCAAGTGCTAAACTGTCAATCGCACTCTTGACCGTTTCCATTACTGACAGATAACAGAAAAGAACGAACAATACTGAGAGCTTAAACGACACTTAGACTTAAACAAACATAGTGCTTAACAAAAACGTCATCATGCAGTGGCCATTTTAAGCTGCAGGAGGATAGTCTGGACCAACTGAAACATCTTACAAATAGGTCCTGAGCAGTGTTTCTCTATGTTGCGCGGTCGCATAACAACCAATCAAATGCCGCGCACTCAGTTATTCCACCCGCGCACATATTAACTAATGGAGAGGAGTCTCAACAACTTGATGACCTTAATGACCTTGACAGTCTATAGGCCTAAGGCCCCAATTAAATAACTAGTAGCATTACAAAGTGGCCTAATGATGGTCTGAAAATACACCCCCCCCCCCAAAAAAAAACAAATACAAAAAATTCATTCCGCACATGGACCGAAAAAAAATCAGAGGGAACATTGGTCCTGAGTACTCTGCATTACTTATTACGTCATCTCACGTCATAGCCACGCACTTTGTCATAAAGCAGCCAGACACCACTAGTATTTCACATAAAAAAACAAGTGAGTACTGTGTCTCATGTTCACCATTCAGACTCTATCTGTACCTACATTAAAATCTGATAACATCTAACCTCTAAACCTGCCACCCGCCTATCAGGGAACGAACACGCAGGATGGTGAATGGTTATACCTGAATAAATAGATGAAAAGAGCGGAAATGACGGTTGAAGACGTTACTAAAGCCGATTTGAAATAAAATACATATCAAGTTAACTCTCAATTTCACTGTCAGCGTAGAACGTCAAACACTAGAGAATAGCGAACATCAGGCGAACGTTTTTTTGTTTTTTCTCTCTCTCTTATAATTAATAATAATTCCAGTCTAGTTAGATATAATAAAATCCAAGCTTATTCCCTTACTAGCTGGAGTACCCGTCCCCTGGACGGAAGTTATGTAAATTCATAATTAATGAAAGGACATGAAAAGTTGCTTCTCTTAATAATAATTGTAAAAAAAAATAAACGAAAAAAACTCCGATAAAAACTGCAAAACACTAAATGTGAAACCACAAATTTGTGAGTATCTTCACCGAATGGACCCAACTAATCTTCATGCCAAATGTGGTGAATATCCATCAACAGAGGGCGAAGTAGTGGTAAAAAAAAATGCAAAAATGCCCATAAAAACCGCAGAACGCAAAACTGAAAATTTGTATGTACCTCCCCATGGGTCTAATGAACCTCCTTACTGCGAAGTAGTTACATGGACAACAGACAGTTCTATTATATTTATATAGAAGTAGTTACATGGACAACAGACAGTACTATTATATTTATATAGAAGTAGTTACATGGACAACAGACAGTG